GTTGAATAGGAAGTCATATACTGGCAATCCAAATGTGACCTTGGAATTGACCTTTGACCTACTTTTCACCATGAACTGAACTTTGCAAATTTTGCTTCCCTTTTATCTCCAAAACTGGCAGAGATAGGTCCATAGTTACTATTGAACTTGAATAGGAAGTCATATCCTGGCTTGACCTTTGACCTACTTATTATCATGAACTGAGCTTATTTCTTTCTCTTTTAACTCCAAACCTGGCAGAGATAGGTCCATAGTTACTATTGAAGTTAAATAGGAAGTCATGTACTGGCAATTTACTGTGACCTTGAAATTGACCTTTGACCTACCTTACGATGAACTAAACTTTGATTGTACCATTTTTAGTTATATATATTTTTTGCATATTTTGAAAATTCTTGTTGATTGCATTTTTACAGCTTGTCAAGCACAAGACTGGTGGCTGTGTCCCTTATTTTGTGTATGTGGAGGTCTATACGAATGCGCTTACTCCAGCTGGTGGTACAATATTCGGAGGCAGTATCGCCTCTCTGATCCTCTAGTTCTGGGTAGCTTTCAACAGCATTATTTTTAACAGAGTAATATTTATTGTAACTACAGTTATAATTACACATCCATAAAGCTCCATATACTAGAAATTATCTGCATCGCCCCCCCCCCCAAAAAAAAAAAAAAAAAATACCATAGAAATAATCATTACCATGTGGTAAATTTTTATTACTGTCACAGTAAATAGTTATTTACTCAGTAATAATAATTTCTACCATGGTAGCAACTTGTACTAGTGGAAAATAATTATTGTAAGTTATGTAAATCATCATCTCTAAATTGGAAGCAATTTCTACTGTAAACAAATTTGCAGATAGTGATTTCTACGTCAGTGGTAAATAATCATTACCATCACACAGATATCTATATATAACTACAGTGAAAACTCCCAAAATAAAATCAAAACAATAACAGAAAAGTTTTATAAGATATCTACCATAATTCAAAAACTACTTTATCAAATGCCTAAGCAGATCCAGAGGAGCATGCTGCCGAAGGGATACTGGTTCCCTCTTGTTTCTCATTATTAGTTATTTGTGTACAGTAGCCATTACAAGGATGTCTTCAGTATTATTCTTTTGTATGATGTCATACAATAAGCACCAGTAGAAAAGTTACAAAACTGTTTACAAGTAACAACAACAGAAAAGGGATAATAAAATAAATAATCAAAAACATTATTCACAATAAAAGTGCCAGAAAAAATAATTACTGCTAGATATTCACAAATAATAAACTCTACATAATAAATGTGACAATTATTCTCACTAAAATGATGACAGTATTTAATATCTATATACTTTTATGATAACCCAATAATTGAATTCTGAACTGAAAATCTTTTAATTATTTTATACCCTAAACTAAATATATTGATTTTTTTATATACTACATAAGAATACTGATGTATTTTTGCACCTTTAGAATTTTACATGAACTGTCCAAAGATATCTATCCAGTAGTAAATTTCTATTCCCATGCCTTTTTTTAAATTCAATACATTATATACATTATTTTTTGGGACTGGAGGGTGCAGCATGAACACTCCCCCCATAAGTACTCAAAATAATTTTATTGAATAGGTTTACCAAACAAACATTGCAATTTTTTATCTTTCAGGAACAGTGAAAAATAATCAAATCAATTCTTAAGCAAACTTTAACAATATAGTTATGTATTAATAAAACTAATTAGAAGCCTACGTTCTAACAAATAAAGTGTTACAGTATAGGTTCTCCACATTCAGGCTACCTATATTCTTTTTTCTTTTTTCCACTGCTGAATTCTCTTAATTTTCATCACATTTTATAACATGTTATCATAAAATGTATCCAATATCTTTTCCAATAAAAAATGGAAAGTTCCAATGTTCATGATGGCTGAAAGTACAAGTATGTCAGTTTATCTTCGGTTAGCTTTGGAACGCATATCTGGTGTACCATTGCTTTTTAGGGGACCAGAACTGAATCTCATGCTGCTGGCAATCGCCCCTGCTGAAGAAAAGCTGGTTTTGTTTGCTGCATACCTTATATCTGGTGTACCATCCCTTTTCAGGGGAGCACAACTGGAGTTTGTGCTGTACTGTAAATGGTATTTGCCCCTGCTGAAGAAAAACTGGCTTTGTTGGCTGCATACTAGTACCTGCATTATTTTTATTGTATGATGTCATACAATAAGCACCAGTAGTAAAGTTAAAAAACTGTTAACAAGTAACAACAACAGAAAAGGGGTAATAAAATAAATAATCAAAAATATTATTCACAATTAAAGTGCCAGAAAAAAATTAATTACTGCTAGATATTCACAAATAAGAAACTCTACATAATAAATGTGACAATTATTCTCACTAAAATGATGACAGTATTTAATATCTATATACCTTTATGATAACCCAATAATTGAATTCTGAACTGAATATCTTTTAATTATTTTATAACCTAAACTAAATTTATTGATTTTTTTATATACCACATAAGAATACTGATGTATTTTTGCAACTTTAGATTTTACATGAACTGTCCAGAGATATCTATCCAGTAGTAATTTTTCTATTCCCATGCCTTTTTTTTTTATTTAATACATTATTATTTTTTGGGAGCAGAGAGGGTGCAGCATGAACATTCCCCCAAAAGAACTCAAAATGATTTTATTTAATAGGTTTACCAAACATTGCAATTTTTATCTTTCAGGAACAGTGAAAAATAATCAAGCCAATTCTTAAGCAAACTTTAGCAATATAGTTATGTGCTAATAAAACTAATTACAAGCCTGCGTTCTAACAAATAAAGTGTTATAGTATAGATTCTCCACATTCAGTGCTACCTATAACAATAATGTAAAGTTCCAATGTTCACCATGGCTGAAAGTACACATATGTCAGTTTATCTTCTGTTAGCTTTGAAACGCATATCTGGTGTACCATCCTTTTTCAGGGGACCACAACTGGAGCTTGTGCTGCGAATGATATTTGCTCCTGCTGAAGAAAAGCTGGCTTTGTTTGCTGCATACCTCATATCTGGTGTACCATCCTTTTTCAGGGGACCACAACTGGAGCTTGTGCTGTGAATGGTATTTGCCACTGCTGAAGAAAAGCTGGCTTTGTTTGCTGCATATCTCATATCTGGTGTACCATCCTTTTTCAGGGGACCACAACTGGAGCTGGTTTTGTTTACTGCATACCTCATATCTGGGGTACCATCGCTCTTCAGGGGGCCGGCATTATGACTTGTGCTGCTAGGACATACCTTCAAAAGCTGGTTGGCTGGTTCTTGTTTTATGTACTCTTTGTTTTTTCGAAGTCTCATGTCTGGTGTACCATCAATATTTTGCCCCCATAGAAGATGCTTTTCTCGATTTTCTTTTCTTCTCATGTCAGGCTTGCTCTCTTTTTTAATGCGGCTAGGAATCTTGACCAAATCATCTCTGATGTCATTAAGCATGCCTTGTTTGTTTTCACGAAGTCTCATGTCTGGTGTACCATCAATATTTTGGCCCCATGGAAGAAACCATTCCCGATTTTCTTTTCTTCTCATGTCAGGCGTGCCACCTTTTTTCATGCGGCTAGGGATCTTGACCAAATCATCCCTGATGTCGTTAAGCATGCTTTGTTTAAGATATGCCATTTTAAGTAAGTTTTCATTATTGACTATCTCGGTTAAAATTTGGTCTTTATTTTCTTTAAAGCTCATGTCTGCCTCTTCCTCTTCTTTAGATGCCCTTGGTCGCATTAGTTCTCTGTTTGCCCCGAACTTCACGTCTGGTTCCCATTCTTCTAGTATGTTTTTCTCCTCAGGTGGAACCTCCCTAGCAGAGTATTTGAAATTTTCATCTCTTTCATCAAGACTACTGCCAAAATACAGCTTTCTGCTCACAGCAACATTCTCCTCATCACCAACACGCGTGTCATAGCATGGTGTTGATGCGGGGGGAGTGGTATAATGTGACTGGATCCAATCTGTATTTTCAGAATCATTTACATCTGCCATCCCATGAAGAAACTGCTCACAGGCTTTTACAAGAAAAGGCCACTGATAGTGGGTCGCAGTCTTCCTAACAATCTCAACATTCTCATCATCAAGTGTGACTTCTCCTGTGTATACAGCTTTCAGTACAGTTTCTACAACAACAGCTGGTGCTTTCAGTGCAAAATGACTTCTCTTCAACAACAGAGCATTGGAGAAGATGCAAAACACATCTGCAAGTTTTGGACTACTAGCTGCTAAGACAGAAGCATGGCATTTAAAGACATGTGGACCCTTTGGCCCAAAATCTGCTGACAGAGTTACATCTGTCAGTTCTTCCTTCTGGTACATACGACTCAAAGCTGGGTAGACATTATTGTAGTTGGCATCCGTCTCAGGATATTCATCATTGTTGTAAATGAAATCTTGGAACTCTTGCAAACACTGGTCATCTTTTTGGGTGTCCAGGACCATGTCATCAGATTCCTCAGCCCTGCCAGCACAGCCAGATATGTCTGAGACCAGGTAAGACCAAAAGCATGGTCTGGTGGCTGCAAGAAGCACAGCATGAAACCTTACTTTTGTGCCTGTTTTAGACTCCAATGTTGTGTCTACCATGTGCTCACCTTCCAGCAGCAAGGAGAAATTTTCTAATAGTTTCTGGGCAAGTTCAGTGGTATTGAATTTGAACTTAATTTTGCCGTTTCCCAAATCCGTGGAGCTGAAGACACCCACATCAATGGCTTTTACTTTTGTCAGTTTTGACATCTTCCTGCAAAATAATAATAATTTAATTATTTTAAATGCCTCAATAGACAGTGGCATTTGCATTAAGGTGCTTGTGAACAAACATGGAGCAAGCATGTTAAGCACACAAATATCATTTTTAGACACATTAATAATAAAATATTAGCTGTAGGACTATGAAAGTTGTAGCAAGGGTAGATCTTTTTAAAATGGAGTCTTTCGCATAAAAATAGTTGGATTTGTACTACTTCATACCAAGAATATTTTGTTTGTCTTCACTGGTAAGAAGGTTATGATTGTTTAAAAGATGAATGTTATCCAGAGTTTATAATATCAACATTAATTACAACCTTTTTTTTTTTTTAGAAAGGAGGGGGGAATCAGTGAGAGTGGTTAAGACTTAATGCTATCACAGGAGGAAGTACTGTAGATTAAATCTTACTGAATATCAAAAAATGTGAGGGAAACTCTTCAGAGATACCTCTCAATGCTCTTATTTGCACCCTCTAATATCTGGATCAAAAGTCTGAGTTTTGGCAATAAATATATTACAAAACTAAGATATTTGTCAATAATTCTGCCACAAATTTTTTTACAGATACAAATACACTGTATACATGTAGTAGGTCACCAATCATAGCCTAATGTTTTGCCCGGCAATCATTTCAGATTCTGCATTCAAAAAGTGTATGTCTAAAAAGGTTTAAGCTTCTTTGTAATATATAGTTTTAAAAGAAAGAGTAACCCATGTTGATACAGCCACAAGTTATGGCACTTTATCAGCCCTTGCTTAGCTATATCTAAGCAGGGAATTATATCGGTATAATTTCCGGTCTAAGCGACCATACACTTCATATCAAAACTGGGCAGCACATCAGGCCGAAAACATTTCATTAGCTTAAATGGACTATAAGCACCCTAACCCAATGAGTTTCACAAGCTAGTCTCAAAAAATTCAAACAAAATAACTAACGATTCAGTCATGGTTAATCATAGCTGACGTAATGGCGTCTTAATAAATATTTTAAAAAAATAATTTTACAAGGCAGATTGTATACTGTGGTCCCCAGGAGAGTAAACAATGCGATGCCTCATAGTTGTGCGGGAATGTAAAAGGGGTGGAGCCTACTTTTGAAAAGTGAAACTGTACCTGCAGTAGCTTACAGTGAATTCTATATTGTCATCCATCATTTTCTTTCTTAAGTTGTATATTTTTCAATTTTGTTGAAATTTTGTTAAAACCACAAAACTTAGTACTTAATACTGACCTGCTTAACCTTTTTTTTTTATCCCCTTCAATAATTAACGTGTTATTTATTCAGTTACTAAAAACACAGTGAGGTATATATTTTCCAACACCCTCGCACTGTACATGTATCAAAACATTGCGATAGTTGAGAACTGGGGTACATCTGGTGTGCAGTGCCCTGAGCACGTGTTAGCTCTCTCTCTCTCTCTCGAGATCTCGTTACTCTTAGCCAAGACCGTCACTTTTTAAACAAAAAAAAAATCATTTTTATCTTGAGTATTCTAATGTCTAAGTTGGAATCTCTGCTGACAATCGCATTTCCGACTAAAAAAAAATGCATCCTTGGCTACATACACTGTAATCCCCATCAGAAAGTTTACTTTCACTTTCTGACAATGTACGTGTGTGTGTCTCAGTAAGTCAGTGAGTGGACCAGTAAGTAGCCTACAGTTGCTTAAACTATGTAGTGAATTAAACCCTATTCCAAGCACGTACGTTTCTTGATACAGATACAACAAATTAAGACATATAATAGACAAACATCCCTGACTTACTTGCAACTGGGTAAATCTCAGCAGTGAATCTTTCAGTCTTGGCTCAACGAGAAGGTGGTGTAGCTGACCCAGATAGATAGGAATGTAGGCCACTCGTTTAGGGACGCTTGGACCTTGGACCCAATCGAAACTAAATCCTGGTGTTAAACAAGAGTAAACATGCGCAAAAAATTTCAGCTACGTCATGCGCACGTGATGTAAACATAAAACACGTGTACGTATATACCGACATAGAAATTGACTTCGTTTTAAACTGATGGCGGCTGTTTAATTTGGATATTTCTAATCACCTTTGTTGTTTTTGGCTTTGGCGTCTCTTTCCTGTAAGTAAGACTGTAATTTAAGTTGTAGAAGTGAATAATTTGTTTTAGACGGCATACTATTTAACTTTGCCAGAACCTTTATAATATACACAGAGCCTAAACCTGTGAAACACGGGACCGGGAGTTTTGCACACCCATATTCGATTTTAAGCAATGTCGGTTAATTTACAATACCAAAAAATAAAAAAAGTGTAGTACCACAAAACACAAAAAAATTATTTATTTGCATAAATCTTATATTACTTTTAAGCACAACCATGTCACCCACAGAAAAAGTCATTATAAATTTACAAATACCAGTCGAGTACCAGTAGTTTGAAAAAAAAAAAAAAAAAAGAAGATGCAGTATATAATAGTGAATTGAAATAAATCTCCATTACATTGTATGTACACATACAAACATATTTTCACACACATTAATATATATATACTGGTATATATATACTGTATAAATGATAACAACTCTTCATATGAGATTCATATTTCACAATAAATACATTGTATTAAAACAACACATAGAAATATAATAAATACTATTTTACCACCAAAATGATGGTTATGGCAATTATTCTGAAATTTGTGCTGTACACTGGACCATCACAGGTGGCTAACCTCTGTTACAATCTCTTAAGAGATGGGGGAAACACTAAATTATTTGTTCCTTTGGGTAGAGTACTTTTTCATGTAAAGATAGAATAATATACAGACTTGACATTTAATATGGAATATTTTTTTCGAAATAATTTTTTATCAGTTTTTTCCTATTTTGCTGACTGATAAATGAAAATAAGGATTAAAATCGTGTTTTAATAACTTCAAATTATCTCTTTGATGTCATTGTGACATCAGTTCATTAATGGAATTCGNTATAAATATATTGTTGATATTTTAACATGTCATATGATCTTTTCTTAAAACATATTTTATGACTGTCATTTACTTGTACACAGTAGATGTCATCTAAAATCAGATAATAAGAGACACTCATCTTCTCCTTAATATTTTACAACAATCATTATGATAATCTTTTTTGTTGCACATATATTGATCCCTCTTAGACGATTGTATAAGGTATGTGTACTGCAGGTGATAAAGAGACCCCCGATTTGGACCCACCCAAAATTAATTTTATTTTTAATGAAAATTTAACTGTATTTCAGTACAATAATTTTACTCAGAAAATTAACTTAGAGGGCTCTGGCATAACTAAGATTGACTGATTTTTGTTAAGATCTTAAAACTATTTTTCTCCACTATTATGTAAAATGAAGACATACTGTAAATACAGTACAGTATTATATCCTTAAATCAGATGCTAGTGCACATAGCTTGTTAACAAGTCCATCACCCAAACACCATTAAAAAATACCAACAGCATCCCAATATCAATTATATAAATAGTAATAATACAAATATATTTAAATAATGTTATGGAATGTCCACTGTTAATGCAAAAGTTTCATTCAATATTCTGTATATATAATATTTGATATAAGTACATGGTAGTATATAATAGTAACATAATTGCCAGGATTTGATACACTAAGTGTTGCTTTGTGACATAGTTAATTTGATCTTCTGTCCAACAGGTCTTAATTCTAGGTGTCTTTTGTCTGCAACAACTGAAAATCAAGAAAAAGATAATTTGTTATCAGTATTAATCATAAAACCAAAGGGCAAAGTCGGTGACATTTCCAGACAGATATGACCCCATCTATTTTGAAATCTGTAAAACAGTGAGATCCTCAAATGCTTTCCCTGGGCATAGCCAACTTTAAAGCAATTTAATGAATTTGCCAACTAAATCCATAAATTTAAATATTAATGCTAGTCTTGAAAATAAATAAGATATTTTGATGTCCATTACTTCCTTTTTAGAATTACATTTTTAGTATTTTAAAGGTAAATTTCAACTCTAACTTGTAAAAAAAAATTATTCTTTTCATAATCATTGTTTTAAGAAAAATTAAATTCCATATTCATACCAATATTTCTTAAAATCAAAGTGGCAATATTTAGCCTAAGCCTTAAAAAGTCTGGCTGGCAGATCTTTGGAGTTCTGTTCAACCCATATTCCAACAGGTGCTCCACTGCCTGAATAAAAAGTAATAATAATAACAAAATGATTATTTATATAATAAGAACAAAAGGAAACCCCCCACACTACATATAAATTCTAAAAAAATTACTGCCCTATAAATGCTTGGGAAATCTTCAGTGGTGTACAATTTTAAAACTTATATTGATATGTGTGCTTCCTAGGTAACATCACTCACATGTATACACCAGAGCCCACAAGTGTAGCCATCCAGTTGTTTCTCATGGTCGATGGTGACAAACTGGCATCCAATTTCTTTTCTTTTGGAAAAGGTGCTGAAAATACATCACAAGGAAAATTATACCTAATCATAACATTGATTTGTCTGCACTTTGCACACATAAATAACATAATTAATAAAATATATTATTAATGCAATACAATAAGACATATTATCATTTTTTTAAATGTTTTAAAATTCAACTACCCCCAGTTTCTTGTGATTGTGTCCTTTTCTTGACCAGTCTCTCCAAGAGAATTGACAAAGGTGTATTTCCCCTCCTTTCTTCCACAATACTATAGGCACAAGTGAAAAAATAAGCCTCAGTCATTACAGCATATTTTCAAAGTAGCACAAAACACAATTGGTGTTGGTGTGGCGAATTAATCAAACATCAGATCTAATACAAAGTACTCAAATTTTGCAAATTGTCTTTTAAATATACAAATAAATGTAGAATTTTCTTTGCAAAAACAGGATAATTAAAAATGATATAGATTTGTTTTTACCTCATGTCAAGCATTTCATATAGCAGTGTTACATATTTTGGAGAGATAAACTGCCTATGTAAGTAAAAACAACCCAAATCCAAATTTTAATCTGAGAGAGTCCCATGTAAGGGTCGAATATTTACCAAGACAGAGTAGTGTCCTCGTCTAATACAAACTCCCACTATGATGTCATATTCTCGGAGGTCTTTCTATATTAAAAACAAAGAAAAAAATTGGAAAAAAGAATTTAAACTCAAATGAAGCTATTCTTTGCAACTGGGATGGGAAACAATTACTAAATTACTATTACTATTACAATTACTAAATGAATGTCACCAAACCTATATATCTCTGAAAATTAAATAAAGAAACCAAAGTATTGAGAATAATGACTTTTTTAAACATAAATTTGGAAGATAACATTTTAAAACACTATTACATATATACTAATGCCTTTTCAAAAGTGCCAGTAAAGTTAAAGGAGGTTAAAAAAATTCAATAATGGCTGAAAAAAATTTGAAAGTTCTTTCTTTAAAGCATATTCAGCTAACTATTCAATGTGTATATGGCTAACCTTAGAAAAATAAGTCATGTCTCCATCATATACAATCCTGGACATTACATGAAGGCTCACATGGAACACCTGTGAAAAGAATAATTTAAATGATGACGTTTGTACCTCATATGAGCAAAGAATCACCCTTCTCTTTATGATCTTGGAAACATCTCGACATTTTTAAAATGCATTATATGTATTATTTTATCATGCATGATGCTATGATATACTAAGTCTTGTAATGACGTGAGCATGCCATCATGAACTAGAGTATATGTTTCTGTAAAACTGATATGTATATAGTGCAGCAGTGTATTTTACAATTTAAATTACAGCTAAGAAAGCCAGTTAGAATACACAATGTGACATTTAAAGCTTAAAGAGAAAACTTTTTGTATGAGATTTATGTTTCATAATAAATACACTGAAAACAATCCCAGAAATATAATAAATTCTATTTTACCACCAAAATGCCGTTTATCACAATTATTCTGGAATCTGTACTTGCCATCGAACTATGAGACCTCCACAGACAGCTACCTTTTGCAATAATTTCTTAATTTCTTACAAGAAACCAAGCTTAGAAAAAACCTTGATTAAATTAAATTGTCAGAATGGATGTATCTACCATTGTTAGGTATGTCCATTTTGACAAAAAAAAAAAAATCCTTTTTTATTTTGGCCAAAATGAACAGCTCTTATGCCTTTAATAAACATAATTATTATTTCTATTTTTACAATAATAACGTTAATAATAGTTGTTATTATTACTTTGATCATTATTACCATTTCATCAATTATAACCAAATGTCATTGGTGTTTTCAATGACATTTAATTCTGTCATTTTATTGCACTTCATTATAATCCTTACCTTCTTGCCACTGTTGCTAATCATAATGTCCAGATAACTGTCAATTACCTAAAACATTAAGCATGTTATATATCTCATTTATAAAAAAAAAAAAAAAACAAGCAGCAGAAAGAGAAATTAACGTCTTCTTACATTGAGTATGTACTATCAATAACAAGGCAAATGCTGCAAGGCATCATTTCAGTCTATGCAGCTCATTTTAACAATAGATATGATAAGATCCTTATGTTTTACCAGTGTAACAAACCTGTTTACTTACTTCATCAGCAAGCATCCCATTTATAGATGTAATACTGTCATACGTTATATGATGCGACTTGTATTTTCCAAGCGTCACATTGGTGTTTTGTGAAGGGACAGCATCTTCAATGATAAATGTAAAGCTTATTATTAATGATAAAAGTTCAAAGTTGAAAAAGCATTCATTATTTTTATTCTTTTTAAAATGTAATAGAATATAATTTTTTGTTACTACTTTTTACAAACATACTCCTACACATATTTCAATGAGTACTCCTCCTATCTTACTGCCACTGCCCATGCATGTCAAAACCTTCTAGTACTTACATCGATTTAAATGTATTTTGATTTTGTTTTGTGCCTTTGGTGAGCTTGGTGACTCTTGTTTTTTTGCTTCCACACATACTTTCTTTATTGGTGGAACTGCTGATGGTTTTGCTACAAAATAATTATTTGAATGCTTCACTTTATACCCCTCAATTAAACATTTAAAGAGATTATGAGTAATTTATACAAAATACATTATGCATGCCCAATATCTTTGCCTAAAAAGAAATAAAAAAAAAACATACACATAAATTTTGTCAAGATAGCTAATGCAGCCTGATAACCTAATAGGATAATCAAAACCTCTAAAATATTAATTGATATAAAAATACCTGCTTGACTCAAGTTGAGATCAGATAATCCCCGCTTTCTTCTAGCTATTTCTGCTCCTTTTCCCACTCTTTTCATCAACTGCAGCTTCTTCTGTCTTTGGGGTAAAGAACCAATTTTTGTTTTGGGTGATACCTTTGGCTTTTTACGTGGAGACTTAGGCTTTTTTGGTAATCCATACTCATGTGGAATTGCCCCTTTTGCTTCTTCTAACACCATGCCTATCTGTTTCCTGATATGCTGCAGGTCTTGGAGAGAGTCTATTTGATAGAGTGAATCCAGTAATTCCTTGGCCAAGGAAATGCAGATGGATTGTTCTTTGGCCACGTTTTTCTTTCTTTTGGGAAGGTCATTTATTATGACATCTGTTTCAGTAGGGTGAGACTCAGATGTAAGAGGGGGAGGTTCAGATGTTACCGTTGAAATTTCATCACTGTATGACACAGGAGATTGGTCGATGACATCCTCGTCCAGCAAATATGCTGGATTGCTGTTAAAAATTGAACCCAGTGAAGACCAAGACACCCCTGGAAATTTCAGGACTGCACAAAGGTGTTTGCATGGAATTTTATGTTGGCAAAAATCAGGGCACTCACAACAGCAGGGATCCAGTGAAATGTTATATTCTGTCTGGTCATCATTCTTTGCTTTGAAATGGTTTGATGACAGCCTCTTGACATTGCTGATATTAAATGTTGTCCACCGATCCATTATGTGCCTTACAAACTGCACTGGTCTGTTGTGCAGGAAAGTTGGTACTTCTTGACTGTACTGCCTTTTTTCAGCAGAGCAACGGATGTTTAGTTGTTGGTACCTAAAAAAAATTAAGCGATTTATCAAATTATACTAATACACACATTAATATCAACTTAAGTAAAAGTATGTATCTGTAAAATTGGATTCAAAATGCATTACTTAATTAACAAGCACTCCTTTCATTAAACCTCTTATGCAATGGAATGTCAAACCCTGGTGCATTTATCAATTAATAAATTGTCCTGCAAAGGGATAACTGATGTGATTGACTGGCGACACAGTGATCCAAAGTACTACACTAGCTCCTACACATGCAGATGATAAAAGTAGTAGTACAGTAGGATTGAAGAAAGTAGACATACTTTCATATAAATATGTACATAAAAAACTACATAGTCCACAAAGAACAAAAAAGTCAAATTTCCCAATTTCGTAGTCCATTCTGTTAATTTTGACCCCCCCCCCCCCGGTAATTGCCCTTTTTCTTAAAAATGAATTACCTGACAAATGAGTTGGGAATGAACATTTCCACCAACACCTTCACCAAAGCTTCTATAGTGCAGTTCTTAAATCCCTGCAGATAACTATCCTTTAAGGCAAGATTTTGCCTTTCCAATCCGTTGTTGGAATTGACGGGGATCAGCAATGTGCCCCTGTATGCTTTTACCCACTTCTGAAATAAGATTTTAGAGCAACCGCCTATCATTTATGACAGCATAAAAATTAAAATCAGCACCTTATGACACTGCATTTACAAAGTTTTTTATACAACCTACGTATAACATATCTATGCAAATTTAAAACAATGGTTAGGATTTTAAAACATTTTAACATTAAAACATTTTAACATTAACGTTAAAACATTTTTGTCTTAGGTAATAATCGAGTATTTTCTGCAGTTAATTGTTACCTCAGCTCTACATTCCCAGTGGTTGGAAAAATAGGTCCTAAATTTGGGATTATCTTTCCACAAATCACTGGACTTAAAATGCGCCAGTGTCTCTTTATAATCTGTGACTGTTGGACTGTGTGCCAGAGCTCTAAGGATGCCAAGGCATTCTTCTTGGCACCCTGACACACCATTCTGAATTTTTGACACCCATTCTTTCCAGCTTTTTTCACGATGGAAATCACATAGAAGGATTTTTGTTTCTGAAAAAAAATTAATTTGAAATTTTTTCTCTAGGTACAATACATTTTTCTCTAAATAAAACAAGTCATAGAAGGCCATTTATCCTTCCCGTTAAAAAATATATTATCTAGATTAGTAATTGTTAATCAAGCCAAATACAATAAATCAATCAATACCAGGGTGGGTAAGGCAGACAAGACTGGAAAGTTGATTAATGAGGTTGACTAATCCTAATTTTTAAAAATTTACCATTTGTGATTTTTACTAGTTGTGCTCAAAATCTTTAAAATACAGATGTATACGCTTGAGCTGCACCTGCTGTTAAGTATAAATGTTTGTCAAACAAGTGTGCACAAACCTGGAAATGAGGCTTCTAATGCATTTATTTCAGACATGCTGTAATCCACCATCATATGTTCAGGATCCCACTCTGGGCTGTATTTCTTGATTATGGCCAGGGCCTCCATGATGGATTCCTGATTTTCTGTTTCTACCAGGAAGGATGCCACCACTGTGAAATTGACATTGGTCTTCACACAAATGAAAAATAGGGGCATGGCATACCTAGTTATAAAAGAAAGAAATATTTGGCTCAGGAAAAAAATAGAAGAAAAAAATTTAATGAAACATTAAAATGTTGACAAAAAGCCTTTTTTAAAGTTATTTTATTTACTGTCAGGGGCAGATTAAATACACCTGTATGTAGTACTTGCTTTGTCTTGTAGGATAAAATGTAGGTTCATGTAACCCCAGTGAGTAAAAACATTTTGCATGTATTTATTCCAAAAATATTGCTGAAATATTTCAATTTGCCCAAGTGAATTTGAATTCCTCTTTTGGCAACTATTTTCATCTGAGTGAATTATAGATAAATCTTAAGTTAATTACCTATCATTCTAGGCAACACCAATTTACAAATATTAAATACATAATATTTATTCTAAAATGCCAATTATTTGTGAAAAATAAATTAATCTTTATATTTGCTCATATAATAAGGCATGAGCCTAGGTTAAAAAAACACCATTACGAATCTCAGGAACCATCAGAATTGAATTTAAAAACCCGTGGAATTCTGCTTTTCTGCAGAAAAACCTCATGTCTGCATAAAGCATGATTTGGCTCATTTTCTACTCTTGATGCTTCAAATTTTATAATATTAAAATAACAAATATAATGATGTTCCAAAACAAATTGCAACATAAAGCGCTATAGAATTTATATATTTGATAATTCATATAATTTACCTAGAGGTGCGGTAAGTAGCATCCATGAGTGTTATGTGGTTGCCATATCGTTTCAGCAGTCTCCTTTGCCACTTTGTCTGATATACAAACAAGAAGTTCACCTTTTGATTTTCTCCCAAGGAAGAAGCCTAGACAAATCAAATGAAAAAATTTGGATAATATATCATTATTATACCAGTGATCTAGCAGGCATGGAAACATGAAGGATGATTCCTCAGAATTTTGTATCAGTTCAATTTCACAGTATCATTCAGAGATGTCAACACCTTCTAGAGATCATTTTACCCACTACCATGTGACATCTTACAACATCATGATTTTGTAACATAATTTTTTAAAAATAGCATACCCTAAAAAATATCAAGTCTTCTGGATTCACTGCCTTCTGTTGATTAACATAATCAGCAAGATTAACTTGATCATTAGGGTTTTTTGACTGGCAGGTAGCAATGTTTTTTATGTCTTTTAATGTCGGGAACCAGCGTCTATTTAGACGTGAAGGACATTCTTTGCCTTTGAACACATCGTCTTTGACAAAAAGATGAATGTACGTCTCAATAAGACTTGCTTTCCTCATGTTGTGACGGTACAGTTCTTTTATCTTGTTGACAATGACAGGATCAACTGGCTGGGACATTAAGTTTGCCTGAAATATATGCAAATACAGTGTATTAGTATAAAACGTCTGTGTATCTTAAACATTTTACTCAATTAAGACTGCAAATGTACTATTCTCATGTGGACAGAGTAAAATAAACTGCTTCGAAAGATATGGGAGTGTTGACATAGAGCACCAATAAATTGGGGACACTGATGATGGAGAAAAAGAACTGTGTAGTGGCCTTTGGTTGATAACTCTGATGATGGTGATGATAACGATGACATAAAAATCTAATCAGATTGAAGCAACTGTTTTATCCTAAAAATATTATTTCATAAACGGTTTATATATAAAATAAAACAAACTTAAATTGTATAGAAGTTTTGATTTACAAAAATATTTAAGCATGTGAGGGTAAATAATTATTTTGTTTCATCCTTGCTTACTTGCAACAATGGACAATAAAGATATGAATGTATAACCTTCCATTTTTAAGAAGAAATCACTGATATAATAATAATAATAATAATAATAATAATTAGTATGACAGCCATGATAAAAGTGGCTATGAGTATTTTCCCTAAGCATTACTGCCAAATGGAAAAGCTGCCATTTTCTACCAAACTTAATGTTCAGCTAGGTTATTAGAATACAATTTTTTGTCTTGTAGTTTGGGCATATTTACTTACCAACATTGCCTTCGCAGCAAAACCTACATTTTGTTACTAAACAATGTCACATATCAACTTGATTGTACCTTTGACATCCTTCAGGTACACTATAAACTACCCTCACCTCAATGATCACTTACACAAAGCAGGGAGATTTAATCAATCATTTTTTAGACTTAGAATTTTAGAATTTGGAATGAATCAGGTGTATAGTGTGAGATTAGAAATATTGTCACAAACAAGTGCAGCAATTGTGAGCTAACATTTATGTACATCAGAAAAGCAAAAAAAAAAAAGATCATACATAATCCCAATAACCATATTAAACTGAAATTACTTGTGAAAAGTAAGCAAATGCAGATAAATAGAAAAGTGCAGGAATAGTGAAATAAAACCATTTACATCTGAAAAGCACACAAAGCAAGATCACACAAAGCCCCAACCACCATATTAATATATATTTATCAAAAGTAAGCAAATGCAGATAAATTGGGTAGTGCAGGAATTATGAAATAAGATCTTTTACATAAGAAAAGCACACAAGGCAAAACCAGGACAAATGTAAGTTATATATAAGTGTCTTACCAAAATGCTCGTCCTAAAATAAAGGAACAGTATATTTCAATTACATATAATTATGGATACTTATAGTATTCTTTAAAATCAATCACAAACATGACAGAAAATTAACATTTTTTTACATTACAAATCACTTTTTATATGAAATCATCCAACTATTTTGTTATGAAATTCTCAACAAAATACTCCCTATGAAAAAACTTACAACGCCTTTAGTAAGATGTCCCATATGACAGTTTTCTGAGGGTAGTGTCAAATAGAAGGCCTCTTCAAACTGGCACTCAGGTTTGATGGCACTTCGTAGATCCTTGGATTTATTCCTTTTTTCCCACTCATTGTTTTTGGCCTAAAATGATCCCTTTTTTATTTTAATATCATATTTTCCTTTCTACATCAGAGGCAACATTTAGAGCAATAAAGTCAAGATGTCCTTTAATCAACAAGAACACATTACATAGTAACAACTATAAATCTATGTAACAATAAGCTATAAGACCTGTAAAAAAACATGCTTACTCTATAGTCAGGAAACTGCACTATCCTGGTCAATGTAATTTGGGCAGGGCAATTCACTTTTTTGGTGTCCTGAACTATTCTCCGACTCTTCACTACATTACAAAATGTATGATCTGTCATCTGTGGATAATGGATAAAATGTTCAGATTATAGATCAAGAACTAGGGTAGAACCATTTCTGCATCTCACATTTATATTAAAAATATTTAATTGACCAGATAAAACACATGTAACAATGATAAAATATAATGTATGCACAAGTAAATACCATTAGACAGCTTTAAGCATACATAGTTAACATTTCATTTCTGAAATTCAGAGTTATTTTAAGGCAATTTTTTTAAATAAGCATATGCAGAAAGTACTCCCACATTCCATACATACATGTACTGCATACAAATTAGTAAAAGAACACACAATATGATTATCGTTTTCACATACCCTTTTCAGCTCACGGGCCTCCTTTGCTCTTTTTTTGGTTTCGGTATCTCTGTCTGGACCTCTGTGGCAGTCATATTCATCATATCCAATAACGTAAAAGGGCGTCCCATTAAATGGGATGTTGTTTGTGAACCATCGAACATGGTTTTTGGGAGATAGACTTTTTAAAAAGTCCTCTGCACTAACATCTAAATGAAAGTAAAAATGTTTTTGAATATTAGAAATACATAAACAATAACATAGATTAACTATTATGCATGTACTAGCTATAAGCAGTGATTTTCAAGTGGTCAGTTTGCCCTCTGATTCACAATCTCTTTCCCTCAACTTTAGGTCAACTTATTAAGGCTTTAGAATCAAGAAAAATACTAAATTGCCATTTTGATATATACTTTAAAGTTCATGTTATGTATAAGCCACACCACGGCCAATACTCTGAGTTCACTTCACCATTTATCAACCAGGCCTTAATCGAGATAAAATTCCATTCACGAAGAGGATAAAATGAGTAGGTTAATAATGAGTCAACTTAGATTTCCCGCCAAGAACTAGACTCTGGGCCAGAGCATTGGTAATCTCCTTGTAAATTATGGCTTAATTGACAATGGTCATGTTATCACTTACCTAAATGCAACTTGGAGACCACTTTTCTCCACCTGGAAACAGTTTCCCTTTGATAGCTTTGGAAAAACTGGTCTGCCTCATACCAAGTAGAGAAAACTACCGGCTCTTCGGCCTTCAAAGCCATGTTGGTTTGTTTACATCACGTGCGCATGACGTAGCTGAAATTTTTGCGCATGCGCACTCTTGTTTAACACCACGATTTAGCTTCGACCGGTTAAGCATGAGACATTTTCAAGCCTCCCTACTGGAAGAGCTCTGTAGATGTCAGCACTAGTACGGTTGTATCCAAGAAAACACCGCATCTCAGTAATGTGTCTGCTGTACTGGCCGAGACGTTTACATTTAGTAATTAATTCGCGTTTTGGAGGAGAAATACTCTTTCAAATTTATCTGGTATGTTTCTAAAACTCCCATATATATGATTTCCAGATGGAAATTAAAATAAAAACTTTAATTGGTGTATTTTTTTATTTATACAAAAATAAATATTTAACAATAATAATAAGTGGAAATATAAAGAGCAGATTCCATTCAAAAATGTTCACTTGATTTGAATCAAATTAAAGATTTCAATGAAAAGTTAAAAACACAAACACTTCAAGAGTTTCTTTTTTATAATAATAATAATTATAATAATGATAATACTTTTAAGCACCTTGGAATCCTCACACTAGCTATTGCCTGGTATATAGAAACAAACAATGCGATTTTTTTTATCATAATGGCAAATAAACATTGAAAAGTGTTATTTTCCATGTTATTGCACAGTTTTTCACTTTTTTAAAATTATTTTTAAAGAACGAAAGCATACACTTCATTTACAGTTCCTTATAACCAGAAGCAATATGCAGTTTGTTTTCTAGTTTGATAAATGAAATGTCTAAACCATATGTATCAAATCCATACGATACAACCTAATTTCTTGAAAGGAAAATATCAGATAAATAACATTTGAATCAAAACATACATGTAAGGAAGCAATGAATGACTCTAATCTCTCATTCCCTTTTCCCTTTTTCAATATTCTGAATTCTCATTTACAACAAATAACTGCCTTCAAAACCAAACATTTACCTTTCAAGAATCTGGAAAAAATTAGCCACTGTACACATCATGCCATAACATAATATTTTTTTCCAAAAAGTAAATATTCCAGATCTCTACTAGTCTGTTATTTGCCTTACGTGGCTCTATAAGTTACCAACAATAGCTAAAAAAATATTTTCCACCCTTTATCAAATGTTAAGATCAGTCTTCCAACAAAAAGAAATTCTTCACTGATAGTTTGAGTTCACCTGCACTTAATTTTCTTTCATAGAAAGTTTCAGGTTAAATAAATGCATACAATTATTCAACATTACAATACTTGCACTTACAAGACACTTGGATTTACACAAATACACACTATTTATGGTAACTATGCACTCAACTGGAACAAAATTTACCAATTCCAATTCCTCTACATGAAAAGTTTTCCATTACACCTGTATAAGTTAACAATTAAGAGTTTACATCCTTCTTCTCTTGTAAAATTGCTATCAATACAGTGACAACTTAGAGAGAAAAGGTATTCTTTTATAATGATTGATGTTACAACATGTGCTGTTTACTAGGAACTTATACAATGATAGGTGGGGGTGCTTGTGCTATGACAAAACTGCCTCTGGACAGTAGGCACCAGATGTTAAACAGGCTTTTCAAGATGACTGAAGTTATCCTGTATACACATGGTTCCATATTTCAGTGTGTTCTCCTGGACTGGAGCTTGTTCAGGGCTTCCTCAGGCTGGACCTGCCCACTGTCTATCTGTTCACTCAGCTTCTTGCACTGAAAGGGTTAACATAAGAGAAGTACAAACAGATGAATAAATATACAATATAATACAATGCAGGTATACAATAAATATACAATATAAATAATTTTAAATTAATTATAAATACAATAAATATACAATATAAATATAAAACATAATGCAATATATTACTTTATGAAAAAGCTGGAGTTGTTCATAATCCCCATCCCTTATTTTAGCCTTAAAAAAAAAACAATGCCCCCATGTATCTAAGCCATTTCATCTTTACTTCTGCTATTTGACACAATATTCCAATAAGAAACAAATCAACAACTAGTATATAGCTGACTGGCCGACGGACAGACTAAATACAAAAGAATTGACCATACCATTTCTAGTTCTTCACGCAAGGCAAGAATAGCCTTTTCACGATTAGTGACCAGTTCCTCCAGGTATTGGTACCGCAGCTTCTTTCTTGCTCGACATTCTCTGGCACTCTGCCTGCTCTTCTCTAGCTTAGTTTTCTGGTCAACCCTTGATGGTTTTCTCCCTCTGCGCCCTCTTTTACCAGCCATGTTGGGCTTGAAAGTGAAAGTCAAACAAGCTGATTTTGGATTAGAATTGATTTAAAATCTACATGAATTTCCACTTTAATTGATATGCTGTCTAATAAGAGAACTTGTTGTTATCCAGTCTCCCCTCCTTTTGATGTGATAAGATAAAAATGTACATGTTCACACACAGCATGTACAGAGTACTGTATTCTTCAAAGGATACATGTAGTGCAGTATACTGCCAGATAAGCAGTAGAAATACATCAGCTGTGTAATTATATGTTCATGTATGTTATAACAGTAAAGTGATTGTCTTCAATCGACAGCTAATATTAAAATTGTTTATTTTTATATTTGAGGTAAACAATTTCCAAATAGATGATGACTGAAGAAAATCACTACTCTTTCAGCATATAACGTAGGCCTACTGTAAAAGTAAACTCCCATCATTTAAAAGCATTAATTCACTAAACATTACACAACGTTAATTAATTGACAAACCAAATCGTCTCAGCTGAACGTTTCAAGGTGTCTCAATTACAAGAAATTTGATCTTGGTGCACAACAAGCACAGTCAACAAGGTTAATTAAGTCCAAGGCCATGGTTTCCTTTCGTAAGCAAGTGCACGTTCCAATGACAGTCACTGTTAAAATTAGCGAGAAAAAAATGCCTACTAAAACTTGGATTGTAGGAGATAACTCACCTTTTTCTCCATATGTTTTTCTTGTCCTGTATCTATGTTTTCGACAGAGCGATCGTCCATATATCAAACTATCACGTAATGTCTGCTTGTAGTGCGTGAGTACTCTTGTTAATCCGGATTTCTTCTTAGCCAATGTGTGAACCAAAACAAAACGGTGGCCTAAATTTCCCTTAAGTGAAATCTCATTGGTAGGTATTTTGGTATATGACCCAGTTTTACACCTAGGACATTTGATTGGTTGTTATTTTTGGACAGCCAATTAGAAAAAGGTTAAGAATGTTCTAGATGCTTGTAGTGACGTCATGGGATTTCCATAGAACATGGCTGTTGACAGGTGATTAGGAAACCGGTTCTCTCTGGATATACATTGAATAATTAACTGATGCACACGTTTGTTGGCTTCATTGATATATCCTTTGGTATAATTAAATTTAGGGAGATGTGCAAACGATATTCTACTATATAGGGCCTGCCGTATTTACACGGTATCTATAAATACAGTAGACGAACAAAGGCCTACCAGAGTTTTAGTTGTACTGGTATTACTACATGTACATGTACCTGTATTAGTAGCACTAAGTGAATTATAAAACTGGATTTAACCCCTACATAATCAAAAGATAACGACGTGCACAATAACATGCTTTCCTTGCAAATTTATGGTGCGGCTTTGCAGCTGAAGTGTCTCATTTTTTATTGTTTTAAAAACATCTTCCAGCTAGCACTAGTACATGAACAGGGGCGGATCCAGGATTATTTGAAACGGAGGGGGTCCGTTTTTTCAGGAATGACAGGCTTACGATGCAAAGCCAACCCTTGACCCCTTGGCGTGGGTTTTGGGTATGGGCTGCTCAAGGGCCAAGATGATTTGGAGTGTTTTGGAGAGCAAACGGTGTCATTTGGCACGGTTTAGAAATATGATTCAGCTGTAGTCAAAATCTTATTCCAAGGTCACTGGAAAAGCGTTTTCATATTTTGGTGTGATTTTTTTTCGGAAATCGAAAGGGGGGGGGGGGGGGCAGGAGGAGGAGAGGTCAGGACCCCCTGTCCCCCCCCTCCCAAATCTGCCACTGTAGTAAACAATATGGGGTCTAATATCAGTGCACTGTACAGATTGTTAGGTCATGTTCTTGTCTACTCGGGTGGTATATACTGTACATGTACATTCACATCCACCTCCACCCGGGCCATGAGGAGGGAAGTTCTGTACTACTGCAGTGCCGTATACATCTTTACTATGTACCTGGTACGGTACATTACCGTTTGTCGTATACTTTCGTTGATTTGTTATCCATCTTTGTCAAGGGTTTGTTTTGGCTATACGTGTAAATGTACGATAGGGAAGATGCATACCGGTACACATACATTTTTTACCTAAATTCATGCAGTACGCTCCCTCCGCTACACCCAGCAGGCCCGTAGCCAGCAATTTCAAAAGGGGGGTTCTTTTTCTGAAAAAGTGGACCTTTTTCCATAAAAAAAATAATGTGCCTAGATCAAATTTTATCCAGAGTGGACCTTTTCCCAGCAAAAGGGCGGTTCCTTTGAACCCCCCGAACCCCCCCTGGCTACGGGCCTGCCCAGTATTTCATGATAACAGTTACTTCTGCAGAAACCATGTACGCCGACGACGTACAGTACACGTACATGTACATGGGTACCCTCTGGTATCAGGGTTTTCTTAAATAGTATACAAAATTTCAGTATGAGCGGTACAAAAAAGTGGTTACAGATTAGAAGCATATTCTGTGACCAGAAGAATGACGGCGCCCTTTCACAGTTTTTACAGTTTCTCCTTCTCATCTAGGGCGTGGCTGGTTCTGGTCACATGTCTGGTCACGTGCGTGTCTGTTGCGTTCGGGGGAGATGGAGAGGAGCCCAGTCCACCAGGGACTTTCATTAAGTTTGTTCACTTGACTGCTATCTCCTCACATTTCGGGATGCAAGTATGGGTGTCATTTGTATCAGGTGTCTAAAAATATTTTTATTTATGTCAAATTATTTAAGTGTCTTGTTTTATGTATTGTTTTATATATTATATTATATTTTACATTTATTTATTACATTTGTTTGTTGCTGTCTTCATAACCTACTCATTAACTTAGTAATATTTTATGCATTCCATTTAGATCGTTAATTAACTTCAAACTTTGAGCTCTTTGCAGTCAAACTTAGGATCAAGCAGCTGATTTTTATGTACAGTTTGTTTCAGTTGTATTTCACTTATATATTGTCTTATTATTATTATTATTATTATTATTATTATTATTATTATTATTTGCATCAGTTGTTTGGTTATAGTGTTGCATTATACATGTGAACCTTTATAAATGTTTTAGCCATCTTATTTCTCAGGTGTACTTCTGTTGAAAAGCACATCTAGGCACACCTTTGGCCACGTACAAAGTTACATGTTCCCAGCGTATTTCGGGCTAGGATCTGCCTTAGAGGCCGTTGCCTTGGCAACCTTTGTATATGCCCATAACAGTTGGATCTGGGAATGGAGTGTCAAAGTCCAGGTGGGTCATCAACCTACATATGTAGGTGCGATTTTCACTTTATTTAAGTTATACATAACAGTTAAATGCGTGGTTAGAAAGGCAGTCTAAAATTTCTCCTTTTCCTATTAAGTAATAGGCATAACTGTCCGAAAGTCATTCTCCTCAGGCAACAAAATTTATACCTTGATATATATATATATATATATATATATATATATATATATATATATATATATATATATCCTCAAAGGTTGCACTCCCTTTCTTTATTTATTTCTTTCCTGATTTTTTTTTTTTTTTTTTTTTTTTTTTTTTTTGATCTGCAGTATTCGTATGATTTTAGAAGAACCAATCAATGCACATGTTTGATTGATATCAATCATTGTCTATTTTTATCTCATTATATAGGCATCAGCGTTGGTAGTGTCCCTGTTCTGCTCTTTGGCCGAACTTGTCTACGTTGTCCCCATGAATGTAGACATCATGACCAGAATGTACAAAATAGAACGAGACAACGACATCGGGAGTGTTGGGGTGGCAACAAGCCCGGAAGTGCGCGGACAGATTTCCGAGTTGATGGCTCGTGACGTGAATTATGCAGGGACCTACAGGAGGTTTTTCAAATGGCACGGGGTCAGTTCTTTGCTGAATATGACTGGAATAGCGGCCAATCTAATTTATTTGTTCTACATGACCTCCAAGTTGCAGAGTCTATGATTCAAGGATTCTGGGACGTATTTTTACCTATTGGTAGTTATGTTCATGAGAGAACACAGAATGACGTAGATTTAGAAGTAAAGAGCCTTCAGTTTCAGCATTCTGAAGAAGGCATTTATACAAAAGTTTTTTTTTTCATAAAATAACCAAATTTACACAATTGGAAGTTGCAGATGAGCACTTTTTGTCCTTAACTTTGTATTAACACTCTTATTGACAATTTGATTTAGACCAAACGACTGCATTTCACTTAGGCCAGTAGAGAACAGAGAATAAAACAGGTTCATATGAAATGACGTTAACTTGTTTTATAAGTTTTTTTATGGGCGGCGCGCTGGAGCTAAGCCTTTTAAAACAACATAAGAATACAAGGCAGGCGCACTGAACCTTATAGAACCACTTATCTTGTTCGCACAGTATACGGGTACTTTCCCAGAGATTTAGATCGATCTAAAGATTAAGATTTGGATCGACCTAACTCCCTTGGGGTTCACGCTAAATTGCAGTCAGCCGAGCGGGCACCATAGTCAATTACCCCCTTACAGCTTTTAGTAGGCGGGACAGACGCTTAAGCCGGCCAAGCTGACAGTAATCTAGTGAGACTCCCCACAGGGATAGATCGATCTAAAAATCTATGGAAATGGGGTGCACGTGACGGAGTGGAAATATTCTAATAAAAGCGGCTTGAAACTTGTAACAGCAGTAGAATCAATTATTTAAAAGACACATTTGGTTAATCAATTATTGATATATTACTTGTTTTAATTGCGCTCTGAAGGAAACAGGAGGCGAATGAATATTTCATAATATCGTATCACTGATGAACATTTACCAAAAACGACAAATGCACAGGTAGAGAGGGATTCAATTTAAGAAGTTTGAAGAATTGGAAGCAGATCCGGAGTTTTTAAAAGAGGAATAATAGTAGATATTATTTGGGACTGCCTGAAAATGCCAATTGGGACACTTCTGCTCTTTCTCCTTCATGTTAAATTCGGGCGCGCTTCCTCACATGCTTGCACCCTCCAGATGTTGGCAGCTGAGTACCGTCAGAATGGTGGGGTCTCTAAATCGCTAGGTGGCCACTCAAGAGAGGAATGTTCCATGGTCTGCTTGACTGAGTGTTGGAATAAACTACCACTAAAGCCCTGGGTAGATGTGGAAACGATGTTCTACTGTTTAGTGCCTTCAGTAATTAGATGGTAGGCTGTAACGAAACTGATCCAGGGTACGTGTAACAGAATGTCAGCCCTAAATTTAGTCACATTTAGAGGGATCACAACTTTTCGTCAGAGTCTATATTTCACAATACCGTAAGTATACCGTAAACAGCACACAAAAATATAATATATTCTATTTTACCACAAAAAACGGCAGTTATAGCAATCAATCTAAAATCTGTGCTTGCCATTCGAACATGTGACCTCCATACCGGCAGATGACAATACACTGCAATAATCTCTTAAGAAATAATTACAAAAATCAAACTTTTTAGGAAAAAAAAAACAGGGACTAACTTTGAATCAATACACGTATTCATTAACCATTGGTAAGCAAGGGGAAATTGCCATCTACCCCAGAAAAATCTATATTTTGACCAAAATGAACATTAATTTGTTATCCCTTTAATTTTAATGGTTAGAGTTAGTTTGACTTAAATGACCTTAGGGAGAGGCTCACCTGCACAAATGAATGGGAAGTGGAGCCTCTATCATGGAAGACTCTCGATCCAATCTGTCACGTTTAACCAGGTAAATTAATATATCTATAAGTTAGAATACTAGCTACATGTACTACATGGGGTACGTGTACAGGTATAGTTGTACCTAGTACTACGTGGTTTATGAAACGGGGTTTAACCCCTAAATCTTCAAAATATACGTACGTGCACAGTGACATACATGTACGTCCTTGCAGATGTATAATGCATCTTAACAGCTCAAGGGTGTGATTTTTCTGAAACATGTACAGTCCCCTTGGCGTAGGGTTACTTCTGCAGTAACCATGTTCGACGACGACGTACATGTGTATGTACATTGTACCCTCTGATATCATAGTGTAGATAATTGGTACAAAAAAATTGCTCAAAAGGTGGAAAAAGCATGAAACTTGGCACAAATGTTCTTTGGACTACGCTGATCATTTTCAAGGGTAGTGCCAAACATTTCAAAGCGTTGCTTAGCAACCGTTGCTAAGGAAGTGATTTACCTTAGTAACAAGTTAATTGGATCTTTCTTGTTCAGTTTAAATGATTTAAAAAGGGCTTTTAATAATGTTTCAAGCCATCAGAACTATCACTAGACTATTTTAAGCCATTAAAAGAGCCCAAGTAAACCATTGCAACAGTTGCTAGGCAGCATATTACCCTAGCAACAAGTATTTAATAATTTATATTTAATAATATATATTTGATAATATATAAACAGATATCTCTGTAGCATTTTACATATCCTCTAGTTCCTTCACATCTTTTTGTTCTCATTCTACATAAACTAACATTTCATTTGCTTCTTAATTATTTATTAATAATGATTGAGATAGGTACATAAATATTGTATGCTTGCACAAACCCAAACACAAAAATCTCCGGAGATCTATCAATGACCACACCTAAATTATCTTTAGCAGGGCAAATGATGCACGTCCAAACATTTTTTACATGCGGGCAATCCCAAAAAAACAAAAACAGAATATTTTCCCTAGCAGTATTGCAAAATTCACTAATTCATAAGATATGCATAAGTATTGAATATGCTATGATTTGTTCTGAATTGGAGCGACTTCAGTTTCGTGTGATCTGTTTCTTAAATGTTAGTTCCCAATACTAATACTAAAGTTTTTTTTTTCTGCCATTCACCCTACACCTTTATCTGGTGATATTATATGGCTTTGGAGGAATTTTTTTTTTTTTTTTTTTTTTTTTGTGAGAAATATCTGGATGGTTTTGGTAACTTGTTTAATCGAGTCAACTATTTCTTGGAATGCTATGTGTAATTTCCTTCCATTGGAGGAGATAGCCATTCAGATGGTAAGCTCTTTTGGATACTGAATTAGACCAGAAAGTGAGTGTTAAGGTTGATTTTTTGTTGAGTTCCTCTAGAGAGAGGGGATTTCAAATGTCATTTATAATACCATTGATGTAAAATAAACCATTTTACACCATCTTTTATGGTTTTTCCATTTCTTTCAATTTTTTAGTTTTGACATAATGGTTATGATAGGATTTCATCTAGGGTTAAATTGGGATTTTCCTGAATTTCACTCAAAGAACCAATAATTGCTAAAAGGGATTAGAAGTTGCTTTTAGTATTTTTAATCCACCTATTGTTACTACCGATTCCTGACATTTCACCAAGAAAAACGCTTTCCACCTACTCTTCTTTTCATCATAAAGAAGTCTTTTAGACCATGTAAATTTTAGGGCCTTGGTAAAACATTTATTTGCGGTACCTTTTACCGTCCATTTTTTGTAATCAGACGTCATCTTTGCTCATTTTAATTTGAATCTTCTCCCATTCCCGACAAAGTTAAATATGATATGCAAATTTTTAAGTATTGAGGGAGGGGGGCTCGCAGGGGAATTTATATATACACTAAGATGATAAATACTAAAGGTTTAACCACCGCGGACTTTCCTATTATTGAAAGGTTTGTCAGAGACCAGATTTCCAAGATATTTTTTTTTTTTTTCAGTATTTTCTAAAAAGCTTTTTCACATTTTTTTATCAGTTTCTTTTCTCTACCAAGTAACTAAAATACACCTTCATGGTTCTATTTTAATTCTTTTTGTTAATTAATGAAGTTCAAAGGTTTCTGTTCACACCCAAAGGCCGTTCTAGATGCCATATCTTACTTCCACCAAGGCTGCTCTACAACAATGTAAAAGAAGAGTAATCTTGCAAGATTAACATATCTGAATCAGCACTACGGTGCCATGTCATCAGATACCATGTGCTCACTCTGGTTGGACTTGTACGGAACTGTGGACCCTTGTGGACACATTTGCCAGAAACTATATTGTTCTGTCCATAGTTGCTGCATTGTGCATGTAGGTGCAGATGTAGAGGCTGACAATGTGCAAGGGCAAAATGCACTGTGTATTGCACACGCAAGGGAGATTTTAAAGCCTTAACTATTGCAAAGTTTTATAAAGAGTTGTAAGGTGATAAAAACATGGAAATGACTGGTTACTAACTTTGAACATCTTCTAAGTATCTGCAGCGGCAATGTTTTTGATCGGATGTCTGTAAACTTCACACAATTGTTTCAACTAACTGGATTAAAAGTTGAATACTTGCTCTAAAGTGTAGTTCCTAGCTAGTAGTATAGATATGCCTTAGTTAACAGACTAACGCAACTTTAAATGCTTGTTGCTAGGGTAATATGCTGCCTAGCACCTGTTGCTAAGGTTAATTTGGATTTTAATTTATAGTGATAGTTCTGATGCTCTGAAAAAATTGTTATTAGCATTTTTAAATCATTTAAACAGGACAAGAAAGGTCTAATTAGCTTGTTACAAAGGGAATTCACTTCCATAGCAACGGTTGCTAAGCAACGCTTTGAAATTTTGGGCACTACCCTTGAAAATGATCAGCATAGTCCAAAGAACATTTGTGCCAAGTTTCATGCTTTTTCCACATTCTGAGCAATTTGACCAATATATAGCACCAGTCATCCAGACTATATATATCAGAGTTTTCTAAAAAAAAGTATACAAAATTTAAGTATGAGCGACACAAAAATTGTTAAAGATTACAAAAACATTCTGTGCCCAGAGAGTAACGACGGTGTCCTTTCACAGTTTTTACAGTTTTCTCCTTCTCATCTAGGGCGTGGCTAGTTCTGGTCACATGTCTGGTCACGTGTGTGTCTGTTGTGTTCGGGGGAGATGGAGAGGAGCCTAGTTCACCGGGGACGTTCATTAAGTTTCTTCACCTCACTGCTATCTCCTCACATGTCGGGATGCAAGTATGGGTGTCATTTGTATCAGGTGTCTAATGATAGTTTTTATTTATTTCAAATGATATAATTTAATTGTTTTGTTTTATAGATTTAACATTTATATATTATATATATATATATATATATATATATATATATATATATATATATATATATATATATATACAGACTTGACATTTAATATGGAATATTTCAGTTTCGAAGGTATGCCTAGGTAAAAATCCGTTCTTTTTTCAAAAAACTTCGATCTCATATAAGATTTGTGAATGGCGAAGTGTGTAGTCAGGTGTGTCGCTACCAATTAACTGACTTCCATGTCTGTTGAGCTGCTACATTGTGTAATATGCGGTGATTTAATTGGGTAGTGTTCCTTTGGGCTGGTCAGTGCTTGGCTTAGGCAAAGCTTGGTTCTGTCAAAAAAGTATTCGAATGTCGGCAACTACTGCATAGAAGAATTTGAAATTTTGCATGCAAGCGGTCAGTTTTGCAGTGCTTTAAATGAAGTAGTGCTTTACAAATTTGTTAATTTGTGGCAGAATGGCGCAATAAAGATAGACATTACCAGACAGATTAAAGCGCCAAACGGAACGGTCCGCACAGTTTTATAAAGTAATGCCCAGACTGATGTACCTACACAGATGTCACACCCAGTGCATCGAAATCTTACCTCAGGGGTACAGGACGCACTGTCTTTCGGGATATGCTGCTGCAACTAAACAAAAGCCACCCAGTCCGTTCAGAACAAAGGGCAAATTACCACCAAAATGCGTTTTTCAAGGCCCTTAACGAACACCAAACTGGTTTTAACAGGTTAGAATACCAGACAACCTCCGAGGTACCCACTGTAAACAGCAAAACATCGTCGTCTGTTTCTCTAATGAATTGGGGGCCATGACCGTTTCTGGGTAGAACACTGAAACCACGTGGCTTTCTTTATTGAGGTCAGATTTCACCTGTACCGCCCAACTAGTCAAAACAGAGTTTACAGACATCCAGAAGAGGCCTACGACGAAGCATGTGCCGCGTCTAAAGTGACACGGGTCATTGACAGCGTCAGTATTTGGAGTGGATACCACATTGGTGCCAAAACACCAATGGTAGTCATTGACGAAAACCTGAACCAGATCAAATAAAGGAATAATCTGGGAACCACTTGACTATCATTTGATAGGGGGCACCTTAGGAACAATTTTAGGTTGCACGGTGAGATTGC